GAGAGATGAGAGACGAGGGCGCGAAGAGATCGAGCGGAGAGAGAGAGAGAGAGAGAGCGATGAGAGGAAAGGGGCAAAGGGAGAGAGAGAGAGAGAGGGGGGGAGGGAGGAAGAGAAGAAAGCGATGAAGGAGAAGAGGAGAGAGAGAGAGAGAGAGAGAGAGGCAGATGAGGATAGAGAGAGAGAAGACGGGAGAGAGGAGAGAGGAGAGAGAGAGAGAAGAGAGAGAGAGAGAGAGGGAGAGACGAGAGTAGACGAAGAGAGGGAGAGATGAGAGACGGCGTGAGGAGAGAGAGGAGGGAGGAATGAACGAGAATGAACAGGACGAGAGGGTGGGCATGTGCGCACTTATGAATGACTACTTATATCCTTGTACGCTAAGGGGTCTATTGTCCCCGGGGGGGTATGCCGCGAACGTACCTGGGTCAGGTCAGAATATACCGGAATGTACCTGGTACTATCTATATTGGCCGAACCGTACCTCGCTACTCCATACGAGCTCCAGGGAAGTCGCCTATGGTTCTACTCACTAACCCTCACCTATAAATTAGTGCCAGCGGTCGTTCCGGTATATACCGGACGTACCAGACGTTCCGCGAGTACGGCAGTACCCTGGGGGACATAGACCCTATGAGCCCTTGTAACCTCATAAAGAGTAATGTTCCATGTACAATAAAATATACAAAAGAAGGAGAAACCCAAAGTTGATAAAATCAATAGACCGACAGTGCAGATAGCAGTAGAAAGTTCCAATATGGATGGATTGTTTGGAATATGAAACATGGCGAAAACAGACTCAGATGATCGAGTAAGACCTACTCGTATCAATAGTACGTACTACGATTGGGGTTTTTCAAACAAGAAGGAAAACAAATGACCATGGTAAACCTCAAATATATTAATATAATAGTATACCTGTAATAGAATATACATGTGTGATATTAATTTTGCATTTATCTATAATATTTTGATCATGAAAGAACATTATTTTCTGGAACACAATAATTACTTCCGTGCCGAGGGGCGTTACTGTATTTGAATGAACATTATAACAACACACCCACGCTCCCGCAGCAGTACCAGCACTACCAAAATACTACATATTTACACGTAATGCCAACAACACAAATTCAATCACAAACTCATTTGCAAAGAGTAAAGTAGCTAAGCCTACGGAGCCACTCTAGTGCATTAGAAGTTTAAGATGTTTCGTGATATGGGAAGGCTGAAACTGAAAGAAAAATCAATGGCATACCTGAATTCGTGGGTCGATTTTGTCCAGTTCATTTTCAACAGCAGCCATGTCAATGAATTCTGCATGTGTAACTACCGTCCATACTTGTAAGAGTGCTGCTGAGACATGCCACCATGGAACTTTTGACCGCGTAACCTGAAATTCCTCGAAACTGTTCACACTTGACCAACCCTAGCAAAGGCGCCAGCCAACAAACCAGTCAGCCATTACGAACCACAACAGTACGCAGCGACATCTACACGTACCGTATCGAAACATTTTGACGAGAATATCATTCACGTGCAATGTGACTACCGGTATATAAGCCTGAGGGTATTACGTGCGCAAAGAAACCAATGACTTGTAAGGTGCCCGCTGCATATACCAGTTCAGTACACAATCTGGCTACGTTAGTGTGTGAGCGCAAGCGCAATATCTCCCCAGAGGAGTTATATGTTGTGATGGATATGCACTTAAAATGGTTAGGCGACATCTCAGCATAGATTTATGAAATAAATTGTTATCAGTATACCTGTACGTGTTTATGATTAGGAGAGCGCCCTACCCTGTGGAAATAAAACTACTAATTCATCCCCTCCTGTCCTTCCCAATTGCCTCCCCCTCTGTCCCTCGCTCAGCCTCATTCTTTTTTACCGCCCTCAGCTTTCTTCCCTGCCGCCTTTCCTCAGTCTTCCAACCCTCGATCTTTCTCTCTTAGCAAGCTATATGATGCAGTTTTCTTCAGTCCATACTGCACGCCTAAAACGGTGCTC